TGTACGGTTGATTGGTTGGAAGTGTTGAGGCCAAATAGCTCAAATGCAGTATTTCTTTGTTGGATTATACTATGTGTACCCCAAAGTTTGTACCCCAATTTGTACCTCACAGTTTTGCACCAACACTTTGTGTTGGTGTAAAACTAATTTTTGTTAAACGCACCAACATTTATGTCCGTGTGAATTTTTATTAACGCACCAACACTTGTGTCGGTGTAAACCATCGAAATGTTAGTGCAAACCTGTGGTGTACAAATGGGGTATATTTTTTGGTGTAAGTGTAGCATGGTCCTTCTTTGTTTTAAAAAATTTGTAGTATTTCTAGAATGTACCAAGAGATGGTTATACTTAGGTAGTACTCATTCTGAAGTAAATAGTACTCATTCTCGCATTAACATAAGCATTCATTTTGAAAACCATGTTACTCATTCTGAAAAACGTAATACTCATTTTTACACATTTATACAATATTCTTTGCAAATAGCGTAATACACATTCTAAAACGTAGTAATACTCATCCCCACATAGCCTAATACTCATTCTTCAACCGCATACCACCATTCATAGTTCGCCCTAACCGTGGATCCCAAAAACTTTTTCATAGCTGCAGATCAATTCTGCAGAACCTATCAGGTCTTCCTTCATCATCATCACCGCATCATCAATAGACAAAACCCTAAGAATCGATACAAACGCAAAGAACATATCTGTACATCATCATCGATCCGCACATCATCACAGATCTGCACTGCTTCTGGCAAACTTCCGACCAGCTAGCTTCCTTCATTGCCGATTTCTTTTTTTTCGCCCCAATTAAACGCCGGATATATTTATCTCTAGGTAGAGCCGAATGTATAATATAATTTGCGGTTTTTAATATGCTTGTGTTTATAATACGTTACATAAGAACCCCTCTTACCATTTCAAAACTTATTTTTTGTTTTAAAAGTATAAACTTATACTTGTTTTCAAAAAAATTATACTTCGTCTATATTAGCTAAACATTTTCATTTTTTATTCTCAAAAATAAAAAAAGAAACACTTTTTTGGATCGTTTAAAAAAATGAGGATTAAGAAAAGAAAATAAAAAAACAGAAAATACTCCGTATATAAAACTAGAGTTAACCCCGTGCTTCACACGAGCTCGCATACATTCTAAATTTTTGACATTCTACTAATAAATTTTATTTATTTTAGTTATTTAATTTAATAAATTTATAATATGCGATATTATTTTTTATAGTTATAAGATACATCATTTTTAATAGAAATGTATTGTTAATTTTAATATAGATGTATTATTTGTTTTTTTTTCATTTTAATGTAGATGCATTATTTTTCTTTTTTTATTGTTTAGGTAGGGTTTTGAACTCTTCTTAGATATTGAAAATTAGTAAAATAGAAAATGATGAATATTTCAATAATCCATAACTTTATTTTTTGAAATAAAGGAAATGGTGAATAGATTTAAAATTAAAATGCATTAATTATTTTATTTTTATAAACATAACCTTTATATAAAGTATGTTACAATAATGAAAATGTCATAAAGTTAGTAATTGTTTTAGTGAGAAAGTCAAAAGGTTAGGAGATGAAACGTTTATAAACTATAATAAAATAATGAATATTTAATATGAAATTTAATATGCCCACGTGGCATGACATGTGTCACATGAACTATATGTGGCATAACACCTGTTGTCACCACAATTAAGTCGCTCAGCTTTTTATATATATTAGTTTTTTAACCCGTGTAATGCACGGGGTTGAATAATTTTTTTTGTTTTTGTTATTTTTCATTGTGACAAATTTTTTTAAATATCAAACAATATAAAACATATAGAACTTGCTAATGAAAATTCTACTATATACAATTTAAAATTAACATTTCAAAGTCTTATTTAAATTAGAATATTTTGAAAAATGTTGAGGTTTACAATTTTTTTGTGAAGTTGTAAAGATTACCAAAGACATGCAAAACTAATAATTTCAACTTTAGTTTTACTCTCACTTGTGAAATAATAATATAAATTTAACAATAAGTGAATACTAATTTGGCAAAAAAAAATATTATCAATGTTAATGTTTAACATTAACTGTTTTTTATATAATCATAAGTCATAACGAAACATAAGGTATTGAAAATTACATTCTTTGAAACTTCAAGAATAATCCTACATGAAATGATATACAGAATGTAATTCATTTAATTATATTTTGCATGTAAACTTTCTTCAAGGCTTTATTATTCTCTAATACTACAGTTGCGCTGAAAATAATTTTTCACAACTTTCAACGCTTAACCTTATATTAAGTATTAAAAAAAATATGAAATTTACTACAGTTGCGCTGATGTACGCTTAACCTTATTCAAATCATTTGGTGGCATATTAAGTATAAAAAAATATGAAATTTATTTATATGTGAAAAAATAGTCTATTTATTAGTTGTCAAATTTTAAATACATTTAATCAAATTAATCTCATATAAATTTTCTTTGATTACATGTTTTATTAAATATATACTTAGTGATCTAAGTATGATTTTTATATAAAAAGAACTAATTATTCTTTACTAAATACTATTCTTATTTTAAATATATACTAGACTCGTACCCGTGCGTTGCACGGACAAATTATTTACCAAAAGAATTACGATAACATAAGTAGAATAATAAAGTAAAAGCAAATAAAAAAAGATTAAAAATGTTAATCCATTGGTATATTGCATGTATGTGTATGTCTATATATGTGTGTGTGTAGCCTTTAGATATCAAATTCTAAATCACAACATTCATTCTTATTTCTTTAATAAGATTAACAGTGTACATTCGGTATAATTGAACTGAACTGAAAATTTAGCAAACCAAAAATTTGGTAATTGATTTTCTGTAGCAAATGTCAAACTGAAATCAAATGATTTGAATCGATAAAAACCAAAATAACATGGTTTGGTAAACGATTTTACCAAAAACCAAACAAAAGCAATACTTTAAATTTTAAAAGGTCATTACATTCTTCAAATTCAAAATAACAAAACACAATTAGATCTATGACATATAAGTCCATTACATACTACAAAGTCAAAATTACAAAACATAATTAGATCCATTACATAACACAATACAGGATAGATGTATAAATAATACAATTGTTCATTTCAAAAAAAAAAACTAAATATTTATAATTATGCTAATATTTCATGATCTCCCTTTTTCAACAACTTCAATTTTCAAAATGCTTGAAAGAATCATGTAAATAAATATTGTAGAATTTGAAATGAATAAATAAATCGCCACTAATCTTAAGTAATTAAGGTATAAATAATAATACTATATTTACCAAATATTAGACTCAAATCCAAGTCTATTCATAATCCAAGAATATCATACTCAACTCCAGAATTTATCACCAACTCCATGTGAGAGAAAATAGTTAGAAAAAACACAAAAATTGTTATGAAACAAAAAAAAATTGAAAAGGTAATTATGAAAAATATTTTATGCATTTTAGGAACTTACCTTTCTCAACTTTGACAAAAGTCTTCTTCTTCTTACATGCAACAAATAGGAGAATGACCGATCTTGTGTGCAAATCAAAGCTTGTGATAAAGGGAGTATAATTCTACTTTTATAATTTCTATACAATCTATTCTTTCATCTGTTCTAAAAAGATTTTTAAAGTTAAAAAATAATGTACTTTTAAAATATATAATTTCAGTACTATTTTTAGTTTTATATTAGTTATAATAAGATAAGGTATGATATATAGAACATGTTACTAATAATTAAAAAATTATAATTTTTAAAAAAATTATAATTTTATTTTGAAAAATTATAATTTTTTACGGAGTAATTGTGAAAAATTTAATGAAAGAAAAGAGACACAACCCAAATCGTACTACTCCCTACACCCTACTTAACACTAACCCTAAAAAGAACTTAGGCCTCGTTCCGTTCAACTTATTTTTTCTTATTCTTATTAAAATCAGATCAGATCAGATTAGACTAGATCAGATCAGATCGAATCAGATCAGATCAGATCGAATCAGATCAGATCAGATCAGATCCAATCAGATCAGATCAGATCCAATCAGATCAGATCAAGACTTATTAAAATAATATCTCATCAAGAATTATTATTATTATTATTATATTATATTATATTATTATTATTATTATTATTATTATTATTATGATCATCATCATCATCATCGTCATTATTATTATTATTATTATTATTATTATTATTATTATTGTTCTTAAAAATGAAAAAGAATAAACTTTAGAAATAGGTTAAATAAAAAGCTGAGAAAGTAATCCTTAATTATTAGACGTCGGAAAAATTAGTTTTAAAATACATTGACAATGTCAATCTAATTCTACTTTTAAAATATATTTTTATTGTTACTTGTAATTTGAGTTTCTAAACTTTTGATCTTTTATAAGGATGAGATATTTTAATAAAAATACTATCTCTTCTATATATTGATTATCTAAATTTAATTATTTTTAAATGTATATCTAAATTAAATATTTATTCCAATGTATAATTCTAATTTTACAAAAAAATTATCATAAAATAAAAAAATATTATTACATTATAATATGAATGATTATTCTAATATATGAATTAACTATTTTTATTTTATTAAAAAGGAATCATTAAATAAAAAATATTGATTATATTATAATATGAATTATCATTACAATTTTCAAACGTTATTATAAAGTCAAATTAAATTATTGATTTGAAATTTTAAATTAAATCATAATTAATCAGATCAGATCAGATCCAATCAGATCAGATTCAATCAGATCAGATCAGATCCAATCAGATCAGATCAAATCCAATCAGATCAGATCCAATCAGATTAGATCAGATCCAATCAGATCAGATCTTATTAGAATCAGATCAGATCAGAAAAAATAAGTTGAACGGAACGGAGCCTTAACACCCTCTTCCAAGCTCTACCTCCAAGTCTCCAACGCCTAAATAATCCCCCACCCCATATCCTTTCGCTAGCTAGTTGGCCTACTCTATTTATTTTCTCTTGCTTTCTCTATCTCTCTCTAAGGTCTTCAATTTGAGACATCAAACGACGGCCGATGCACCGGCTAACTACTCTCTCCATCGTCACCTTCCGTTTTGACCCGGTCAGTCGTCGGTCCAGTGGCCACCAGCTACAGTATGCATATTACTTCGTATTTTATTTCTTCCACTCTGAAATACTGATTTTCTTGGTATTTTTATGTTCATATAACCCCTTGTTCTTAAATTTTCATGATGTTTTCTTTGATGTTTTTTTTCTTTTCTTGAAATTTCTGGATTTTAGTATGTTCTTAGAAAACTTCCTCAAATATTATCATCGATCTATCTTAAAATTTGTTTAAACCATTTTCATAATGTATATTTTGACATGCAAGTCTAGATCTATGTTAATCGTATAAATCTAACAAAAATATTGAAAGTGGGAGAAGCTAATATTTTAATTTTACTTCCCAGATCTTGATAGTCAATAAGCACTATGTAAGAACTTAGAAAAGTTCAATTATTTCTCTCTCTTAATTTATTTGTTTCATCTTTCACATTTTTTTCTGAAAGATCTCCTAGTTTGAAAATATTGTGTTTAATAAGTATATAAAAATGTATAATCATAAAGTATGAGTTTTTCAACAAAAAAAGTATGAGTTTATTTTACGTACAGAGTATGTTTTATTGAGTTCTGTTATAAGCTCAAATTTTGGTTCCACCTAATTATAGCAATTTTTTTTATTACAACGTTTTCCCATATAGTTAGTGCAAGTATTAACAATACAAAATACTTAGTATATTATTTCTTCTTTTTTGTCCCAAGATTTGAATTTTAAACTTATACGGAGTAGTTATTATTTAACACTGCTTTTTCATAGAACCTTGTTGATTATTAATGTCATTAATGCAAAATGCACACTCTAGTAAAAAAGATATTTTTATCTTCTATTCAGCATTTTCTCAAAACTGAAATAGAATTGTGTAGTGTTTATTGGTGTACTACCATCCAATTTGTATTAATCCTGCAATCACATAGCAAAAAAAAGCAAAGAGTCATTTCTAGTAAAAAGAACATTTAATAATGGATAGAAGATGAAGTTGCTAACTTTGAAGTTGGAAGAAGATTGCCTAGGGTTGGATTTTGGATGTTGAAAATGTAAATTTTAGTCTATTTATATTGAGCTTTGTATCACATTTATTGTACCTGATTTGATTTGGTTGCTGCAAGCTCTCATTTATTGTTGGCACTGGTTTCGGAAGATTTGCAAATCTTCACTTTGATATGTTTTGTATTTAAATGATGCTATTTGTATAGTTGTCAGCCTATTATGTTCAATTGTCCATCAGTCAATCAAAAGCCTAACTTTTCATAGCACATATTTATTTAATTAATGTTGATTAGACATAAAAAAGGCACTACTTTTGATGTTTGTGCGAGGATCCATGGTGTATAGTCTAATAATGCATTGGATTGTAATACTACTTCTGTCCTTAATTAAACTTTCATTTTCGTTTTTTCTTTGTTCCCAAATAATTCTCTTTTTCCTTAAAAAACTTTTTTTACCCCTTATTTTTCATATTTTACCTATCACATCATACCTTTTAACTAATAATCTGTCTATCACATCTTATTTTTACACATCACATCAAAGATATTTTTGGAAAGTCAACACAAAAATATTCCTCCTTTAAATCTTCAAAAAGTCAAAAATGGAATTTTATTTAAGGACGGAGGGAGTAGATTATTACACCGTGTCCATGTGTAAGTGTAATAATGGATTGGATTGTATTAGATTTTATTTATGGAGCTACACAACATTTTTATTTACTTTATAGATAGGCGCACCACTTTAAAAAAGAGTGACATGACAACTCTTACACTTGATTAGACCATACATTATGCAATAAATGGAGGTGGCGCAGTCCGATTTGACACAACCCATTTTTGCTCAGCCCCCTATAGACCAGCCCGAATTGGCCCAATGAAGCACTCCTACATTTTGGCGGGAACACTGTACAAAGAAGGATCCAAGCATTATATATAGTTATATAATAATAAGTAACGGTGGTATCCACATAAGTCTCATAAGTGTCTGGTAGAGAGTTAAGAAGAAGCAACTCCTGACCTCTTCAATTTTTACATCGATCCGCTTCAACTCGTCTATCAATCCGTTGAACACATTCATGTGCCCAACCAAGGTATCATCATCCTCCATCCGCAACCGATACAACCTCTGCTTCAAAACAAGCTTGTTGGTCAAGCTCTTTGCCATATAGAGCTTTTCCAACTTCTCCCATATTGCTGTCGGAGAGTCTTCATCAATTACCCAATTGACAACAGAATTTGCAATACACAACCGGATGGTACTAACACACCTTTCGCACAACTCCTCCCAATCACCGGCGCTCATTGACTCTGGCTCGCCTTCATCTCCTTTCAAGGCTCTAGACAAATCCAAATGCACAAGGAGATCCTTCATTCTTCTTTGCCAAAGAGTGAAGCTACTCTTTCCATCAAACTTCAGCACGAAAAATTGAGACCCCAAACCCGAACTCGACATCGTCAGTGACCACTATAATCACCACAACCAAACTAGGCTCTGATACCACTTTGTTGGGAAATTTAGCACAAAACTTCCCACGCAACAAAAGGAACAAACTAGTAGTCTAAGAACAAAGAAACCGCAAGCAAAAAAACAGAGATGAGACCAAAAATTATTGAAACCGGTAAAACCCTCTTTACAGAGGTAAACCCACCACTATAAAAATAGTGTAAGTACAACTTAACCGTCAAGGATTACAACACCAATTTTAGATCCACATACAATATTTTGGTACAACGAAAACCCATCTCTAAATCCCCTAATACAATTGGTAAAACTCCACCAATAATCCACTAGGACTCTTTAGAGACCCCTAAAATATTGTATGAATAAACAAGTTGTACAACCTCTCTCTTAAAAGAACACACAAGGCTAGAAGTTTTTTTTCTCTTGCTCGTACCAGCCCCTCCCCTTTTACCAAAGCCTATGCAAGGCTTTAACTATAAAAGCAAAAGCATTAAGTTAAAGCCCAAATGGCCACCTAAGACAAATGAACAGCCTCCCAAATGCAATAATTCCAATCACCACATTTGTTTTTCCAAATGCTAATTCATGCACCTGGAAAACTTGAAAAAACAACTTGGGCTGGACAATTTTGGGAAATAGTCCCAACATGTTCATCTTTGGTATTCGCAAGACCGTCGTATAAATAGATTCCGGCCCATGTGGGTAAAAAATTATTCCACTATTGACTTAGCATGAAGATTAAAAAATTATAAACAACTTGAAAAAATATTCCACTACTGACTTAGCATGAAGATTAAAAAATTAAAATTATGTGGGTAAAAATAACCCCAAGATGGGAGAAATTATAATGACCTTTTTTTTTTAAAAGTAAAAAGCAAATCTTTTTTTGGACAAACAAAAAAGAAATATAAACTTTTTATGACAAATGAAATCTTATCCCACTAGGTGGGGTCGACTACATGGATCAAACAATACGATTGCACTTTATCAAGTATCATATTTGTTGTGAGATTGTTCACACAAAAGTCTCTCTTGACCACTGCTTGCAAGTGCTCTTAAGTTTACCTCTTCTTCTAGCTACATGTTTATTCACCTTGTGATCAATCATTCTCACAAGATGCTCTATATTGGTCTACTCCCCACAGGTTCAAACAATCTAAGACATCTTACCCCCATCTTTTCTACAATTAGTGTCGCTCTAAATTTAACTCATATCTTCATTCCTTATTCTATTTATATCTTCGTATTACGAAGGACGAAACATCTTCATTGGATACGAGTATTAATAATAGCTACTATCCTCCCTATTACATTCGTACCCTCCCATTGTATAAAGAGTTTCACCCTTTTCTTATTTAGATAGCTCAAAAATATTCAAATCTCAAATTCTTCGATAATCCATGTATTTTCATTGGTCATTTAATAAAATAAAATATTCTTGTCGCATCTTTTTATGTACAACTTTTAATATACTTTTAAATTTATAATTTATACTTTTGATTTCTAGAACAATTTATAAATAAAATCATTTTTAAAAATATAAAAAAGTTCACACATTTTTTGAAGAGTATAAATAAATTTGGAACGAACTGAATTCTAACTGTACATTTTCTATCAGGCCCTAATTTGGCCCATTTCTCTTGTTCGTTTGCAATTTCAACTTTCTTGGATGATTTGTTTTCCTTTTTTTTTTTGTGGCTGCTACCTTCATTGGAGCATTAGTCGTTCCTTAATTTGTGGAGGCTTGTAGAGTGCAAATAGATATGTTATAGATACTAAAATCACCTCCGAAGCCCCTGTGATATTCTTGTTCTTAGCCAAAAGACCGTCGTATAAATAGATTCGAGAATTGACCCACCACAATTGCAATAAAACTTGAAATTATACGGTCACTCTTTGTCACCAATTTATAATTAAAGTCTAATTTACCTTTTCTGAGTGAACGTTCAATTGGGGTTCAATTGGGTCTGAGGCGCCCTGGGGTGGGGCTCATCCTTATAAAATTAAACGGTTAGGAGAAAAATGTTATAAACTACAGCTCTTTTATTTTGGGGACTGATAAATGAGACGATGAGATATGTCTTTAAGCCAAAATTAAATACGAGTTCAAGTCACATGTAAACATATTTATTTACAGCCACCCGCCTAAAGTTTAGAGCTCCTGCTCCGAATGATTTTGATCTTATTAAAATAAGTTTTAATCTGATCTGGTCTAGATGTAGATATACTTAAAACTATTTTTTATCTAATCTTATCTAATCTGATTTCATATGAATTGAACTAATTCAAATAAGAATAAGTAATACGGAGAACATGCTTGATTAGTCCCTAATCTCAAGACCACCGTCCCCTTCCTAGAAACTCCTTTTTTATTTTTAATTTCAAAGCAGCCAAAGTTTTTTTATTGCAAAATACACACATTTTACAGTTAATCCCTGCATATGAATTTCCCAAATAATACAAATCTATCCGAGATTCAGAATTGACAAGTTGGGAAAGTAAAAACGGAATTTTACCGAACCTCCCCATCCTCGCCGTCCACATAATCGCTGCCATTTCTATGATGGCTGCCGCCGCTCCTCCGGTAATCTCTCATGTATTTCTTGTGGTGACCATCAGGTTTTGTTTCAGATGCCCATCCATGGTGCTCCACGGACTCCTATCAAATTGCCCATATATGTAATGTCTACTTTCACATCTAACAAAAAATAAAGCTACTGCTTGAAAACAAGAAGAGTAAGGTTTTGGATCCCAGATAACGCTATGACGTGGAAATGTGATTTTTTTGTATTTAAAAATAGATTTTTTTTTACTCATTATTAATTACTATGAATAAATAAAATTAGTATAACTATAAACAGGTGTCCAAAAAAGTTAATGAGTCCTAATGTATCGTTTAGTTTCCCAACACTTTGTTTTATTCAACATTTCCTGTCTTTCCCACATATTTTTTTACCCTAAAGACATGGGAAAAGAAAGTCTCGAAGGAAATGTTCAGGGGAGACCGGAATCATAAAAAAGTTAATGAGTTCTAGTCTGACGTTTATTTTCCCAACACTTTGTTTATATTCCTGTCCTTCCCTCATATTTTCTTACCTACCCATAAAGATATGCGAAGAGAGTTTCAAAAGAAATTTTCAGTGAAGACCAGCATCACCCTTCAAGAAAATGACAGAAAGGTGGCTAATACATTATTATACATCCTCGCTTAAAGTGCATTTTTGTCAATTCATAGCATTCCTTGAATCTTTAACAAGAACAATTCAATGGAATCTTCATAGAGAGAGAGAGAGAAGAAATCACACACCTGCTTTGACTTCTTGTGATCACGATTATTGTTTTGGTGAGTACTCCTTGATTGACCACGCTTCTCATTTTCACCTTCATCAATGGAACGTGAATGCTGTTGCTCTCTGTGTTTCCTTCCTCTCTCGCTTTCAGATCTTCGGTTGTTTTCATAACTGTATGACTCAGTTTTATCATCGCTGTCTGTACTTTCCTTCCTGCCCCTTTTTTTCCTACTCCTGCTTTCATCTTCTCTGTCTTTATCCCTTCTATGTTTTTCTTTCTCCCTCCCCTTCCTTTCATTTCCCTTTTCCTTCCTGGCCTGCAAAACCGAAAACTAATTTCACATTGCGTTGTCTTTTTAAAGCTTCAGTTTCTTAACAATGCCGTAATGGACTGTGACCATGAATGCCTGGTTTTTATTGAATTAAACATGGAAAGAAAAATAAAGAGGAAAATAAAATAAAAATTGCAAGTATTCCATTCTAAGGTTTATCCCATCAAAGCATCAGAAAACATGCATGGTCAAATGGACCTAATACCTTCTCTTCCCTTCGCTTTCTTTCCTTCTCTTTTGCCTTTTCTTTCAGGCCAGCAACAAATTTATCAAATATATCTCGCAAAAAGCCCTCTTCACTCATCTTCCTGATTGCATGCATCCATTAACAGGGAGAGTTAGATTTTATGTACGAAAACATGAAAAGCTGAATGCAAAAATATAAAATTATTTCAGAAGGGGCATTTCATGTTTAAAAATACCAGACTGACAAACAATTCCAATCGATGGGCCAATGTGCATGGGGAAAGCCAAATAACTGAGAACGATAGTTAAGCCCATTAAGGGAGTCTAGATGATCTCAATTAGTACTATTTACAATTCCAACATAGATCATCCATTGCAATGGAGCTAAAAAAGAGTCATTTTTTGGCAAATATTTTAGACTTTTTAGCTTCAGGTAAATAATGGACTAGATCGAAAATGGCAAATTAATCTTCCCTTGCTTCTTATTTTCTATGAAGTTTTGATAATGCAACAACATTCTAACAGAAAAAAGCCTCTCTGTTTTTACAGGGATAAGATTGTGCAGACCTTGACCCTTCAGGCCCCAAGGAAGTTAACACTAATGGATTATAGTTGTTAAATTCTAACATAGTACAGAGTAATAAGAAATATGCAAAATCAGCTGTCTTGCCTGTCATCAAGAAATGGTTTGCAGTCCTCCCATCTTGACGATGCTGTGATTTCCTAATAAATGGAATGCCATAATTAGATCAACCTCCAAAAATACGATAGGAACATTGAGAAGTAATGATTTAACACTGCTTAAGCACCTTGGAAACACTTAAAAGTTCATAGAAATCATCTGCAAGACGTTTAAGTCTTTTAGCTTCTTTTTCTTCTTTTTCTCTAGCTCTTTCCAGTAATTCTTCAAAAACAAACTTTTAACAGTTGTATGAACATCAGATTGAGAAATGTAATAAACAAAATAGAACAAAACTGAAGTTAAATATAAAGGATCTGAAAAAAGGAAGCACAGCAACAACCCAATAGAATCTCACAAGAGTAGGGTCTCGGAGGGTGTGTACGCAGACCTTACCCCTACTCAAAAGTAGAAAGGATGTTTCCAAGGGAAAAGGGGGGCACCTAGGAATTATTATTATCATTATTGTTGTTGTTTCTGTTACTATTATGATCATCATCATCATCATTTGATAGGTACAACAACAACCCAGTTAAATCCCACAAAGAGTAGGGCCTGAGAGGGTGTGTGTAGGCAGACCTTACCCCTGCTTGAAAGTAGAGAGGCTGTTTCCAGATAGACCCCCGGCTCAACGTCGAAAAGTGCATTGTTTAACTACCTGCTACTTCATTAACTAAAGAAGCGCATACAGTTTAGAGATCCATTTTGCTTTATTCCATGACACCCCAAAGCCAAAAAATAATGAAATTTTGGCCCCATCGGAGATGATGGAAACATATATTGCTGTGTTATTCCATCATTTGATAGGTAGAAAGGAAAAAATATATTCTATGTTTATAAAAAAGCTTTTACGACTAGCACCATGGCAAGCATCAAATTCATTCTCTTATATACCAACCTATATCCAAATAAAAAATAGAATTATAGAGCAGAGGATGGAAGTGTTGGTTTGTTCATGATTTGGTTACAATTAACATTCTGCTTCTAATTCCTTTATCTGTGCGTCAAATATACCAAGTTCTAGCTGCAGACATTGAGTAAAGCTGTTTAAATTCTGAAAGCTCGTGGTCAGGATGTCAGCCCCCCCCACCCCCCCCCCCCAAAAAAAAACATACCTAGTTTTCCCCAAAAGCAACTGCATAACAACCCTCACCACTCATTAATCAATGTTTCGAATGGTTGTGTAATTATGGGGTAACTGGAATGGCAGTTTAATGTACTTCATCGTATGAAATCCAGAAGAGAAAAAGTACACCTTCAAGTTAGTGTCTGATATGGGAGGTGAGCTAATATCTTCTGAAATTGCAGCCTTTAAGTTCTCAAATGTCCAACTTGTTGTCAGGGCAATCTGAATACACATACAACTTCGCATAAAGTAGCAATGGAGCTTGTTTAATAACACAGCACACACACACACACAAAAACTAAAAGAGAAAGCTACCTCATGCACTTTAATTGCATGTTTTATCCGAGCCTTATCATCAACAAACTGCAATTAGCACACAATTAAACGACAATGAACTGAAATATATCATCGCACAACCAACAGCCTACCTAGAATATTCCCACAAGTAGTGAACCATAGTATTGAATCTGAAGTTAAGTGAAAAGTGAATGAAGTCATGTAATTTAAAAAGGAAGATGAAGGGTCAGATCAAGGGGGGATCATTAGAAATTAATTCTACAATTCATCATTTTGGCGAGATTAAAACCACGTGAACCTATCAGGTTCTTACTTCTTAGTGTAAGTCTCAAAAGTGAATTTGACAAGATAACAGGGAAAAAGAAAATAATTCCTTGGACACCCCAGAAATATTCATGAGCTTGATTGATATCCACATCATATCAAGACCACTAATATTTTAAACAAACCACAAACAGGATCACATGATGTCATGTGTGCACAGTTTTTTGATAAACATATTGCTAATTGCATGGCTCATTTATAGACTGATCAATTTCATATCAAATTATCAATTTACCTGCTTCTCCAGCTCCTCTACAACATCTTCAAACAAATCTTTTGCTGTTGACCCCGATGTGTTGGATGATACAGCAAGATAGGCAAGTGAGTCTTTCACCTACAAATGAAACAAACTTCGAAGTGTGACAGTGAGTATGTGTTGGGGTGGGGGCTAATAACCAAAGTGTGAGTGATAGTCAGACATAGGAGCATTGAAATTGCTATTTTATGCCAGAGGACAGGACAGAAATCATGGATGAGGTAGGGAGGCAGACCATGGGGGTGAGGATGTCGGATGACGAGGTCAGAAGAACTCATGCAAAATCACAGGGTGAGGTGGCTTTAGAACTACCCTGTGCCCGCGTAGTATAATAAATATAAGGTTATTAACATCGTGATCTGGATTGCAACATCGTACGATTGTACGACTGTACAATTACTACTCACCTTTGCGATTCAGATCGCTGCTGGGTGCTGGCATCAGAAATGACTAGGATCGATGGAGATCGCTGCTGGGTGCTGGGTGCTGGCATCAGAAATGACTAAGATCAATGGAGAAAAAAAGAGAGAAAGATGTTTCTCTTTGACAGGATTCGATCCTCTCCTGCAACTTCTAATCGCATCTCCACCTCCCCTCTCCTGCATTTTCCGGATCTGTTTTATTTTTTGCCATTCTCTCCTCTGAATACAGAAGCATTAGGTT